TGAGTTTGTATCTAAAATATGTTCGAATTGAAGTATCTATATTTGTATCTAGATACAAAACATGGTATCTGAAGTTGGCCGACTCTTTTGGTGCATGGTAGTGTTGGCTAGTATCTAGATACGTGTATCTAAATACAGTATCTAGATATGTTTTGTGTATCTGACAATGAGTTTGTATCTAAAATATGTTCGAATTGAAGTATCTATATCTGTATCTAGATACAAAACATGGTATCTGAAGTTGGCCGATTCTCTTGGTGCATGATAGTGTTGGGTAGTATCTAGATACAAAACATGGTATTTGAAGTTGGCCAACTCTCTTGGTGCATGACAGTGTTGGGTAGAATTTAGATACAGTATCTACGTAGATACATTTTGTGTGTCTGATTGTGAGTCTATATCTGACATATATTCGAGTTGAAGTATCTGTATCTGTATTTAGATACAGAACATGGTATCTGAATTGCTTTTCTCAGATACATTTGCAGATACATTTTTATATATTTTTTGAATAGCCCAATTCTTTAAATTTTGAAAAGATCGAGACTGCAAGTTATCATCATCAACCGGTTGGGCGATTATTAAGCATTGGTCAAATTTTAGTACCATGGCGAAATAGTTTGAATGACGATATATCTTTGAGGCATTTTTCACGTGTTAAGACTAACGAATAAAGTCGTAATATATAAGCAAAAATATTAATAAAGATAAAATAATTTTTAATTCCTTTTTGTGCATATTACCATTATTATGATAAAAATATCTGATATGTATCAGAGATACTTTTAAAGTATCTGAGTATCTGTATCTATATACATTTTAATTTGTATATCTACATTTGTATCTAGATATATTTTTGACACGTATCTGTATCAAGATACATTTTAAATGTATCTTACCCATCACTAGTGCATGATAGGTCAACGGAGACACAAAGCGTCTGTTTTATGGAGAATTCAGTAGGGATTCGCAATCGATTTCGGTGGCGGCAGAGCAGCTGAGTATTTAGACACACAGCTGTGCGATATCTGACTTTTTTAAATTTTCTATCGGAATGTAATAAGTAACAACAGTCTGCAGGAAACTAAGTTGGTCAATCAATAGTCAAAGATGAAACTTTTAGCGATAATGGGTGTATGGAGCGTTAATGTTTGATCACTCCATATCAAAGTTTAATAACCCTGCAGCAAAACAGTATAATTTTGCAGCAGAGAATTTTATCTTTTTTATTAGAAATCAATAACAAAAATTTAATATCTCTGTTTATCTAGATTTAATAATTATATAGTATTATGCATAGAAAAAATTTAACAAAGTATGAATCTTTATAATTTCCATAATGCGTGCAATTTAGATAATTATATTTTATATTTGTCTTTTTATTTCACGCTACATCATCATTTAACATTAAAAGTAATAGCTTGAGTCTAAAGTCTGAATCTATTTTTGTTATCATAAAATTGAACACTCAGGTGTTATCTACGAGCGTTTTATAAAGTAAATTTAACTCTATTATATAATATATATAACATATATTCTTCAATGTATTAATTGGACGAAAATGACAATATTTTCTATTCATTTCACAAGCTTCGTTAATGTACTTAAACAAAGTTCTCGTCTCAAGCAACAGATCGAGGCTAAACTTTCGCGGAGCCAGAGCTCGATTGGTGCAGCTGTGCATGGTTGTTTTATTCTGTTAACTCTAAATTTATCACCCGAGGAGAGGCTAGAGAGAGAAAGAGAGAAAGACAGGAGAGGGATCGGAAGCATCCCCACCATCTTTATCGCCTCATACTCCCCTTAAAAGACCAAATCCGATCCTTTCTCTCTTTCCTGTTCGTTCACATTTTTCACGCAAAAATACACAGAGCAGAAACAATGTTGCGGCTATATATAATAATTTCCGAATTATGTATATATCTGCTTTGAATGCATCCATGCGCGTTTCGTGAAACTGAAACACTCTTTTCTCGATATATGATGAATGGAAAATCCGATTTCATTTATCGGGAAATTGGGCTCCGTTTCGCATCGAAATGGATTTCTTCGGACTGTGTGAAATCGGTTTTGTTTCAAAAATGATTGAAACGAAAAAAGTGCCTCCACATTTGAGGATTGTATGTCGTTTTATTATTTATTTTTTATCAATTTATGGCAATGAGTTATATCTTTTTTATCTTATTTAGTTTCTCGTTATAAAGAAAAATGCGTTTTTCCAACGTTTCTATTATTACAAATTATGGAAAATTTATTCTACATTATCTTTTATCATATAACAATATTAACTTGTGCTTTGAAAAATGATTTAACCTCGTGACATTTTAAAAACACGAAGAATAAAGGTTCAACTTTTAATCTTTTTAACTCTGATAGTCAAATTATTGTTTACTGAAACGGAGTAACTCGTCGTCGGAAAAACAGAAAAAGAAACAGTGAATCTCTCATACAAGGCAACAATTTGTATTTTTTTTTTCGCATTTTTTGTACTTTTTTTTTGTCCAGCGATTTTAGACGGCTCGATGATATTTTACGAATTTTAATTTTGGCTGCACAGCTGCCAGCAATATCTCTTTTCACTGTCAATACTCCAATGCGCTCGAAAATTTAATGTAGAGGAAACTCGCTCAAATAATCGCAATATGTGTACGCACGGAATAGATATTTCATGACAAAAATAGTTGGAAATAATGTAAATAAATATTTGTCGGACTTTAAACTATTCACAAAGCAAATATACGTAAATAAATAAAGTTGTCGTACTAAGCTCAATAATTTAATCATGTTCCCATATTCATTAATGATTAATGACTCGATGGTAATTAATTTCTACCCAGGCAATCGCGATTCATATGAATACGAGATTAATTAACTCTGAGGTCGTAACAAATACGAAGGTTCGATAGAAAGATCATTTCGTTGATTTTTTCTACGATGTTAATTGTGTTTCAATCTATAATTAAACGAAATATAATACTTTGTGTATGATTCGCTATTTACATTCCGAATCATCGCGCACTTTGCTCCAAAATTATCGATCATAAGAAACAATTTACTAATATATTTAGCAGATAATGAAAAGATTTTATTCGAATTTCGGTTTATATTTATTTATTGGTTAAATAGAATCCATTTTTAGAATCGTATTGTTAGTTATTTGTCATATTTGGATTTACGATGACAATTTCAATCTATAGAAATAAAATTCTATACGATAAAATAATTTTATAGATCAATGAATTACCTGCTGGAGATGTTATGGCGAACTTCTTGGAGTTTTTAGTACGAGCAACGTTTTTCCGAAACGCGATATGCCGTATGTACGCGACGGGGATGTATTTTCGCGAGTTTCAAGGTTAAATTTTACAGCGCGTATTTTTTCTCGCATCCAAAGAGACACGTGGCGTTCAGACGACTGATGTCGCGCGACAACAGCGACGAAGACGATGTATGGTTGCCTTTGGGGAGCCCTCTCTGCCCTAAGACCGTCTCTCTTTCTCTCTGATGAGTCCATCCTTATCTTTCCTTCCCCTACCGAGAGAGCTACATCTCGGTTGCTCCCTTCCCCAAAGTGGGGTTCCCCACCAGTTTCCCTGAGAGGGAAGAAAGCCCCTCGATAGGCAGCCATAGGTAGCAATGGCATTCTGACCGATTCCTGCCACTGACGAACAAAAGTCTGAATATGCCCTTTATCAGGAAAACTAGTCGAACTTCGTAGCACGATCATTCAGAATTTCACGTCGAATTTTAATCGCTCAATACAGGTTTATTCTTTGAGTTGATTTTTCTGTATATATATATCTTGCTTTATTTAATTTATTATTTATTTATTTGATTTTTATATTTTTCTTTCTGAGATAAAAAGCGAACACAAAGCTCTTAAAGATAAAATCAAACAAGCCTTCAAAAGAGTTTTTGATAAGTTATCAATAAGGCTTTAAGTTTCCTCCTTATGTTTAATTTAATTTTTTTTTAGTTTGTGAATTACATTTAAAAAAAGAATCTTAACATTATTTCAATCAAATTCGACATAAAGAACTATCCAAATTTAAACTTTAATTTATTGGAATTTTAAGATTTATAATATTAGATTGTATTAAATAAGAATTTACGATTTATATAATACATTATTTCAATATACAGTATTTTTACTAAATATACCAAGTGTTTATGATTATTTTATAAAAAACAAGCGATTTGCGAAAATTAAAATTTTAGTATAACTATTTGTGTGACACAAATAATTGATCAGTATGAATTTTGATAGGGTTTTTGTGCCATCACTAGCTACTGGGTTTCCGACTTGTAAGGGCCGTATCGATTATCTCGTGTGCCTCGCTGCGTAAATCGCGCTGATATTATGTGAATTCACGTGGGTATCCAACCCACGCGTGGGAGTTTCGAATTAATCATAGGCAAGGACGCGTTGTGTCCATTAAACTTGGGGTTGTAAAATGTAGATAATATCAAGCGAGACGAGGGTTCGAAGTGTTATGTGCGAAAAAGGATGGGAAACAAGCTATAAATTCGAATCTATGATTAATCTTTCACCAACTTGCATGTGTGAGTCAAGCTTCTGTTCTATCAGTTATATTAAAAAAATTAAATTAAGAGTATCAATACTTTATATGAACTTATAAATTCATTTCACGTAATGTGAGAAAGAAATTTAAATTTAAATATACATATAGACAGATTAATTTTTCATGTTATTTTACGCACGAAAATGTGCATAATTTTCACATGCTTTTATAAAAATTTGAATTTAATATTATATTAATGTAATATGTTATATGTAATAAAATATGTTTTACTATACAGTGAAATAGATATAATAGATTTGTAATGTGATATAGAAATACAAATGTACATATAATAAAGTACATGGATTTGTCCGACAGTACAACAGAATAATTGATAAATAAAATATATAAAATATAATAAAAATAAAAATAAAAATCTGAAATAAAAGATAACTGACTTATCAGGCAAATTCTTACCTACGCAGCTAGGCAGCTTGGAAGTAGTCTCATTCCATTCGCCATTTTTGCATTCGAGCGTTCTTTTTTTCTCCATGCTGTCGGGAAACACGCTGCCCGACTTGCATAGGAATGTCCGCGAAGTCAATGTACCGTTCGACACGTAACTTCCGTTCGGCGCCAAGACCTCCGAACAGCCTAACACTGTAAGCATAAGTTCATTTTCACCAAATCCTTGTCTTCTTTTTCACCATCATCTCGCGATTAATACTTTGCTACATTTTCAAGTTACAGTTCGATGTCCCTCGCCTTTCCCTGTTATGTATAGGATTTTTACAATTCTGAACACTTTAGTAAATTATTAGAAGTTTTAAAATAGTTATCGTGATTTTATTAAACATAAAAGAAACTCGCTAGATCTCTGCCTTAAAATTTGTATGACTTAAATTTTATTTTTCTACATAATTTTTGCTAACATTTGATTTTGATTTTTTTAAATGAATTTGCGAAAGAAAAAGTTTTATTAATATTTAAATAATATAATTTTAGGACACGACAATTTTAAGTGTTAAGTCTCGTTTTAAATATTTAAGTTCTTAAACACCTAAATTGATAATTCTTTGAATTGTTAAATATTATTCCCAAAGTTTTAATAAAAAATTGAAAAGATTAAAAAATGCAAATCGTTTTAAATCTGAAATTTTACAAAACTTTTCGGAGAGTTGCTCTGTGAAACTCGATTAGTTACATCAGAATACTAACTTTATTCGAATAATATGGTCGACTTAATTAATTTCGTTCCAGACCTATCTTTTTCGTGAAGCGTGAAATGCTATCTTCGTTAAAATTAAAATTATTCTCGGATTAATTGCCGCGTAATAATAACGCGCGAGTTCGCGACACTTTCTATCAAGTTTTCGAGAATAGAGGGGAGGATTTGAAATTTATTAATTTTTTTTTACCTTGATACTGCAACAGAAAGCCTCGGGCACTGTAGAGTCTCCTGGAAGCGATGAAGTCGAGAGTTAACATATTCGAGTTCGAGACGATTCGTGTTCCCGCTGCGGTGCCGCAGAACTCGAAGAGAGTGCTGCCACGATCTCGCACTTGTACGATGTCCATGCAGCTTCCGTCCGTTTGTGGACCTGCAAAGATTTATCTGTGGTTTTCTCTCTGAAGTTTATTTGCGGAACGCGTATAAAATCCAGCCGGTCCGATAGGTTGTTTATTTTTTTTAGCACGATCACTGGAATCCTTTAATTCGATCGAGTTGTATGTAGCACATGTGTTTAATATTCAAATCGTTCTGTTTGGAATAAAAATATATAGACGGCGAAGATCGGACGAAAATATTTGTACACCAACGAATTTAATTAATCTGCGTGGAAACATATCGATCAATAATCACGACTGTTTTATTCTCTACTGTGCAATTTGCATAACACATATCTCACGATTTATCGTTCGCCCTGGATTATTTGGAGAATTTCTTGACATATTTAGTAGATATCATTTATGTTTTTTTAACTCCCGGCCAGCAGCGCATATATTTCGTCTGCTGGACATTTCGAATTAAAACGCTTGCTTACCGCGGATGTTTAAATCATGAAAGGTCAGAACTATCCTTTGACCCGGAAATGTTCTGAAGGTCCATCCACACGTGCTTTCCCCGGGATAATATAGCGGATAGCCTGGCGTGTTGATGTAACCTCCTTCCTCGCTGGTCACCTTTACCTCTTGATTGCAGTATCGCTTAACCGCAGCTTCTGCAATCAATCGATGATGAATCTCTTATGCGGTTTATCGATGCGATGCTCTATTTATACGATACAATATGGCTTTATTTATGCATTAGATGCAAGAGAGGTACAATTCAAATGTGGAAGTAATTGTTTGTTTAAATAAGAAGCAAATAATATAAATTATACTAATTGATTATAATTTCGGATTTAAACCACAATGATAAATTATTAGAATTATCACAATTTATGATTCAATGATTCTAAATTACATTGTTCCTTAAAATAGTTACATATAACTTGATCGGATGAACCATGACATTTAATTTCTCGAACGATATGTCACGTACTTTTATAAACCGTGTCAATTCAACGCTATATCGTCCAGATGTTCAGCTCCTAATTAAATCTCTTCCATAGTAATAAATCATTGCTAGCGAGCACAATTTCATCGTTCTCGAAAAAAATTATTTTCGGACCAGGGAAGGGAAGCAGAATAATGGGTCGCGCGTTTCTGCCTAGCCATAAGGTCGCTATTAACAAATGCATCTGTTGCGATCCATTTGTCACTATGCCATTATACGATCGCGAGATCCCTTTATATAGCGTGTATCGCCGGGCCAAAAGGTGAGGGTGTCCTTGCCCCAGTTTCGGGAATAGGGGGTGTCACTTTTGGTGGGGGATGATTCACGCTGATAGTGGTAATGAGGGCAGCTCAGGGGAAATTGGTCCTCTGTCTCTCCTTCCTTCTCTGGTCTCCAATCTCTCGCTTTCTCTCACGAAAGAGAATATAACTGTATTTGCACCATTTCCGATATGCATCCAAGTGTGCCGACCTTCGCGAGGGAATGTTTTGTCTCACCGAATTGCAAATTGCTTTCATTCCTATCGATTTAAGCGAGAGTGCTTTGCCTAATAATTCTGCATCTTTAATCGAAGTTTCAAGAATCTTGAATTATTCTCCACATTATTATTTTTCGACAGTAAATTTTATTGTCGAAAAGATATATTTTCAGAGAATTATGTTAATTTCTGAGAAATTATATCATAAATACGTATTATTTACTTTGAAAGAATCAAAGCAATTTAACACCCTGTCAGGGAAATCTGGAAAACTGGGCATTGTCAGGGAATTTTATAAATCTGGAATTGTCAGTGAAAAGTCGGGAAATTTTATACTATTTATCTGGATTTTTTCATTATTCTACATTTATCTCAATAATTGAAATTTTTTATTAAATAAATTAACTTTTCCTTGACTGCCAGCACGCTAATTTTCTGTGTTGTTAAAAATCGACAAAACTAAAAAAATTGATATAATATAAATAAAAAAGATGATTATTTAAATAGTTTATAGTGACATGTGTTTGATTTAAATTTTTGTTTTTTTTAACTTAAAAAAATTTCAAGGATTTCATGATGTAAAATTTAATTGATTTATCATATAGATGTATGCAAATTATATATTTGGAAAAAATAATACTAAAAAGTGTCAGGGAAAACATTAATTTCTGGTCTCGAAAAAAATTTGAAAAAGTAAGGGAATTTTTTTCATTGAGCCTAATGGACATCTTGTTTAAAATCTAAAAAATTACATCTAAACGTGTCTTTCTATAATGCAATAAATGATATATTGTATTGCAACGCGTGTTCCCGTAATTTCTCAGTTCTTCCAACGTATAAGTTATACTCTTTCGGAGATTGGAGGAAGCAAACTGCCGAATAATAAACAAGTAAACTCCGAGAAACGTCACGTTTTTCTCATATAATCCTCGTAAGAAGCTTCCTCGCTACGTGCAAGCTCATACAACACCGGGATTACACGTATATTCCGTAACGCACCGGATGCATTGGATGCATCGTTTCTTGTTTGTCGGTTTCCGGGGACATATCAGAACACACGTTATCCTATATCCCACGGTTAATAAAGATCGAGCGTGTATCGCCGACAGCTGGCTGACAGCGAGCACGATAAAAATCTGAAGTCGATTTCGTCGGACGTGCAACACACGTGACGTGTCGTGCATTTTTTGCGTGAATTTCTCACGTGCGTGGGAGGAGATCCAGGCTCGCTTGCACACTTTATCGAGTTCGTCAATCATTGATTGCGCACGCCCGAAAATCGATCGCGGAATAGGCTGGGTTTTCCCGCTGATAAATAAAGCCAGATTATTAATACCGAACGTATATGCCGCGAATATATGCTGAAAGATATTACGTCGAAAATTTTACGCGGAAATCTGTTCTCTTACTATCGTTTAAGATCGAATGAAAATTAGGAATAATTTAGAGAATATTATTTTAAGAACTCACGTTAAAGAATATCTAAAATTATTCAAAGAAGATTAAATGTACTTGTTATAAATTATTGATTATTCGATATTAAGATATTCAATTTATATATCTACGTGAAAGGTCTTATAATGTTCATCATTTTTTTTTTATTGCTATTGAGAATATACTCACCCGGTATGCAGGCGTATTTTAAAAAGATTTCTCCTGGAACCCAAGAATGCGCTCCTGGATGTTCAAGAGTCGCATTATAGCGACAATGTTTCAGGCCGGAGCATCTATATCGAAAAGTTATATTAATCAATAATAGATCAAGGTTGATTTAAAAATATTTTGAAAAATAATTAAAAATCGCTTATATTAAATGCCATTTATTCTTCTGGTATATATAAATAGATTGCAACTTGTGTAAAGTTTCGCTTTCGGACACTATCGATTGTTCGACAGCCGCCAATTAAATAAGCAACGTCGGTCATTAGGGGCTGAGAACGCGCTGACAAAAGCAGCCCTGGGCATTTCTAAGGGGATGGAATTTAGGGGAAGAGTCGCGATTGTGTTACCGCGATTCTTGTTGTTTGAAAGTAGTAGTGAATAATAGACGAGGGTGGATTTTCACCCCTTTTGAAAGGCCTCACCCTCTTACGTTCACCTCTTCTCGTCGATTTTATCGGTTCGCGGACGGAAATAAAAGGGAAATAACATTTCATTCCCTTCTTCTTCACTCTTTCTGCACCGTTCCGCGAGGAATCGCTTTTATATTTTTTTAGACTCGCTGATGTAGATTCTCAAATTGAAACTTGTGGTTTTCTACGCGATTGCCTCTTCCAGACAAAAATAAATCGTCTTATTTGTCGATAGAGTTTATAAAGCTTATTACTTCTGCAAAATTAAAATACGAAAAGCATATAGTTGTTTAAATTAAAATTTAATTTGAAAAAAATGCAACAAACAAATAAGAAACGAAACCCTAATGTTGAAAATTATTGTAAAAGAGAAATTGTGAGAGAAAATATATACATAAGATTATATTATAATTTTAATTATGAAAAGCATATGCTCTTATCTAGAATCACATTTTTATTATTATTATTAAATTGAATTTTTTTATTACCTTATAGTTCTTTCTTGATTTTTAATTTTTAAATATAAGTAATCTAAGTAATTTGATATATATTTTTGTATAGTTTTACAACTTGTAGATTTCTAAATATAAAATCTACGTTTGATTTACCGCGACGGATTTAGTAATTTCAGCAATGCAAAATTTGCATCCCTCGCATTGCCGACCCCTATTTGTAGAATTCTCGGAGCGTGATGCTGTGTAAACGTAGGGATGGAGACGGACCATTTAACGGAGATTGTTTCTCCTTCGGCGATCATCTGACGCGCGTTTCAGAGAGAAGAGAGAGGGAAGGGAGGCAATTATTGCTTTAGGAATGCTTTTATCCCCGCACATCAAACGTCGAGATTTCACTCTCGACCCTCGACGGTTCTCGAGTGCGCGATAAAAACGACGAGTATCGTGGGTGAAAGAGCGAAAGGGTAACTCGATCAAGTGGTTGCCTCGACTACGTTTCGCAGTAATCATGTGACTTTAGTGATTATATTTCTAAAACGTTAATGCAGTTTTTATGTTGTTTGATCTGTTTTATGTCATCTCTTTTTATATTTAGTTGAATCTATTAATTTGCATTATTATTTTCTCAATTATATTTATTTTAATCTTTGGTAATTTTGCCTGTTTTATATAAAAAATTTACTTAAATATAATCTGTGATACACATAGCTAATTATATATTTTCTCTACTCTTGTTATAATATTTTATTTATTAAAAAGAGAGATAGAAAGTGTACGATATATTTATATTAATAATATATCTGACATAAAACAGAATATTTTAATCTGATAAACATAGTTGAGGAAAATTTAATTGCTCTGTCTGCTATCATGTTACTCAACCTTTAAGTAACTTTATTGCAGGAGTCGACTGCAATGTTTGTTGGCAGTAAACGGGATAAGAATCGTTTTCTAGAACTGCGGTCTACCTCAGACCTCGATCGTAACTGAATGCTATCTTGTATCATTGAATGTCACAAACAGAAGTCCGATATCGTCGACGAGGACCATGAAAGTTCTATCCAGCTGACGAATCGTAAATAAAAATCAGTAATAAAATTCTTCTTAATCCGCGAATGCAATTGAAAAATCGAACGCAATAGTGATATGAAAAATTCATCCTTTTAAGAATTTGAATAAAATAATGTAAATGTAATTTATTCAACTTTCAAATGAATCGACTTTTTTGTTAAAATCTTTGAAACTGATTTTTGTTTAAAATTATAAAAAGATGAATTAAAGTATTTTTTGAACACTGAATGTTTAAGTTATGATATAATTATGAAATTAATATCATTGAGATTTACCTTCTATTTAAAGACGATCGAATATCGATGATGTCGACTATGTCGTATTCGTCGTCAAGGATATAATTCCCTTTAAGTTCTCTGATGTTCGTCCATCGTCGTGTGCTACCTTTGTGCTTCCACATTCTGAGCTCTTCCAAGCTTTTCGATTCTTTCACACATAGCTCTGTATGATTCGCGTGATATTCCGCTTCCAAGATGAATATAAATGCTTTCAATGATCTGGAAGTACCAGACTATAATTTTATATATAATTAAATGAACAAAATAGTCAATTAATCGAAAATTTAGTTAATGAAAACAGTGATGAACGATAATATATATAACCGGTTTTAAATATTTCTGATATTATAAGACATTATAAAATAAGAGACCCGCGTCAAAATTAAAATTAAATAATAATAGAATTTATAATCAGCAAAGTTTGACAGTTATAGCATCTTATTAATTTTGATTACTTACTTGTTTTTAATAATAATTTAGTAGGAAGAATAAATGCACATTTATATACGAATAAGATGTAAAACTACAATATTTTTCAAGTATGAATAAATAAAAGATTTGCATATCTCTCTAGTAATTATAAATTCCTTTGTATAAACGAATGGAATAGATTATTTGTAAATTAATCTCCTGATAGAATATTTTTGTGATGAAAGAAATTTAAATATACTTCTTGGAAATTATTTCCAAGCCCATACAGCACAAAATATTTTGAAAATGTTTCTATGTCCGCTTTTTCATGTTTAAAAAATATTTTCAGAAATATTTTTGCATATATATGTAGATTTAAACTAACATTTCAAAAATATGTTTCAAATATTTAAGAAAATATTATAATTAAATATTCTGAGCGATGAAGAAGAACATTTTTGAAAATATTTTTAAAAGTTTTTAAAAATATTCTAAAAAATGTTATCACAAAAAATGGTTAAATTATTTTACAATATTTCTAAAACCATTTTAAAATGTTTTTATGCAATATTTGATAGAAATATTTAAAAATATTTTTTTTAAATATTCGCAATATTTTGTGCTGTATGCGCGCGATAAAGAATGTTGACGAACCTGCACGTCAATCGGAGCAGACCGTGGGAACATCTCTGCTCCTGGATCACCTCCATGTATCCTCCGTGCAGTTTCACGGCCTTCAGAATTCTGCCAAACGGTGCCTGGGTGGTGGCGAAAATCCTGGACGAGGAACATGCTGCAAACGTCATCAGCAGCAGGATCAGGAGACTCGTCAGGGTCGTCGCTGCCAGCCACGCCATGATGGCTGATCATTACAATGACCTAAAAGTCCTCGACACGAGCCTCGTCTTCGGAAAAGGGCTTAAAATTAGCCCTCAAGTGTATTCTGATAAGCGAAATCTCTTCAGAAGGTAGACGTGCACTTTTGCCTTCCCTCCTTCTCTTCTTGAAATTCTCTCACGGCCACTTGAATCAAAGCTCTGCTGTCCGAAGGTCGATGACCTCTTGTTTTACCGAGAATTTAATCCAGCTTGATTATTCTCTCTACTCTCAAATAACCGTTCTTTAAATCTGCGAAAAAAATAGATAGGTTTTTTTACTATGAGTTTCATCTGCTATTTAAAAAAAGAGACTCTCTGGAACCACGCCATAAGCACGAAAATAATGAAGTATCATGTTTCTTTGTGACGTAATAACTCGTTATTATATTTATCTCGCGTAAGTTATATTTGTCTCGCATGTCAGACACGAATGCAAAAATCACCAAGTTTTGGATAGAACAAATTTCGATCAGAACCAATTTAGATGAATATATAGATAATCTGATCATATTTTGAATTTTATTAAAATTATATTACAATCTTCTAATTATACCAAGTAACAGTATATAAAATTAAATCAGATAGCAATTAGATTTTCAATACAAGTTTAATGTAAATTCTTTATATAAATTAAAATGAAGAATTAAATTATACTTTTTATTACGATTTTATTTCAAATTTTTATTGAAATAGATTAAATGTGGTATATAATTCGATAAGTTAAAATTTTAGATTTTAGGACTATTAATGTAACTTGTCTAGAAATCAATCGATCGACACTCACTTTTGATTCTTGAGGATTGTCAAAAATTGTTGTTTGCTCCACCGTGCATCTTGAGACTGCGGCGTGTATTATTTTATTCCTCTGATCCTTTATAATTCCTTCGATCTTTGTTCGCGGTTTTTTTATGTTTGGCTGCAGCAAATTTTGTACTTATTTTTCCGCGATAGCGCGTTTGTGGGTAGAAGCAAGTGGCTCCTGTCGCGATCAACGGCCAAGTTTTAAGTAGACAACAGCAGCAGCAACAATCCGTGGCGCCTCAAGGACAGGGATTAGAATAGTCTGGACAAACGTTTTTACATTTAGGCACTCGCGAATGACGAAACGCGTTTCTAATTTGCCATTGGAAACATTTTCTAATAGCTGATTGGCATGATTAATTACACCATTACAGTTTTGTTCAATTATTTGTAATTATTGAACGGTTAATTATTTATATAGATTATTTGATTTCAATTAATTGATATTAGATACTGATAAATTAATTTTGTTCGCGAGAGAGATGTTAAGTTGATCAATCAATTTTGTTTAGTACTAATTGCATTCACAGCCACGTTTAATTAAACCTAATCACGAAGTTAAATCAAGTATTTTTTATTAATTTATATCGTGTGATTAATTGATATTAGGATTATATATGGTAATTAATTTGATATTAGATATTAATTATTATCATTTCTTCTAATTTCTTTTTGATTAGATTTATTAGTTGATTGATTCATTGGTAATTTAATCAGTATCAAAAATAATGTTTTTACTTTTCCAGTCCATTTTTTTAAAGAGTCTTAAAAAATTTTAAACATTTCTTTAAGATTTCTCAAAACATTATATCGATTGATATTCTCAAATTGGATGGTAAAAGAATAATAATCTAACACCTCATTTTAAACACATCACACTTGATACACTTAGCTTGCGCAGAAGTACAAGAAATCTTCTAATTCTAACACGACACTGTCTTCTTAACTTACATAATTAATCGGTAAAAAAATATATTAACCTTATAAAATCATTCGAATATTTTGCTTGGCAAAGTACTATTTAGTTGCATTGATTGAACTCGAAAGCTATACGAAATAAATCCGAACACTGTATACTAGACGTTCGAAGTTTCTAACACTGCGCTTGACAGTTCATCTCGATATTAAACATCCATATAAATCGGCGCGACTAAACGCGACCATAAATCGCGGCGAACCCGATCGAAAGAACAACCGCTCGTGTCGGCGATTCGGCAGCGTGTGCGGCACCAGGTCGCCTGGTTGCCGGCCAGCCTGATGACGCTTCTGCTGCTGCTGCTCCGCAAGCATTGACAAGAAGCGAGCTACAAGCCGTGAATTCCGCACCCGGAAGCGGCCGGTGGTGGCTCTGAGGGGGAAACTACCCTACTATATACACGCGTGCAGGGGCACACACCTCTCGGGGGTCTCGCGTACCCTCGTACCCTACGATAGATTCGTGGCCGCGTTCGTGCCGGTTCTGCCCCCTCGTTCGATCCGCTCGTCCCTGCACTTCCACGCTGATTCTCTTTTCTTCTTCGCCGTTGATCCGGACAGCTGAAGCCGACAGCTGAGAATTTTCGGGTTTTCGCGAGGATCACGCGGGATAAAGAATGACTCAGGATAGATGCGGGATAGAGAAATAGAGAAATAGCATCTGTAGATTTTTGACAGCCGCAACTATATTTAACTTTATTAATTAAACAATATTAAGACTATATAATTTGGCTTTTTAAATAAATACAATATATATATATTTGTATGTATATCGGCTGTAGAGCCTACCGCGGTGTCTTTTTACGTCAACGAAAATTAATTTTTCGTTAATTACAAGGGGATTAAAAAATGGGGTATCACAGGAATTAGAGATTCAAACCAAGGATACTATTCCTAATCAACAAAAAATTAATTTTCGTTGACGCAAAAAAAAAACATCGTGATAGATTCTACAGCCGATATACATACAAATATATTTATGTTAATTAAATATTTATTATTTAATAAATTTAAAAAAATTATTAAGCTGAAGCGGTGATTTTGCAGAAGCAGCAAGGTATCTAGCGGTCAGAGAAATCTGGAAAACAGGGCATTGTGAGGGAATTTTATAAATCTGATATTCTACATTTGTCTCAATAATTTGAAATTTTTTTATTAAATAAATATAAACTTTTCCTTGACTCCGATTCATCTACAGCGTGTTCGTTAATTTATATTTTCATCGTCGTGTTATTTTGTTTCAATGTGTTTAATAGTGATAAAACTAAAATTTGATATAAATAAAAAAGGTGATTATTTAAATAGTTTATAGTAACATTTGTTTCGATTATTGAACATAATGTAAATTGTATAATTGATTTAAATTTTGGTTTTAACTTCCGAACCTTTCCATTGTTGACAAAAATATCTCAATTAAGGATTTCATGATTTAACATTGAATTGATTTATCATATAGATACATGCAAATTATTTATTTGGAAAAAATAATATTAAAAATTAATTTCTGGTCTTGGAAAATCTGAAAATGTCAGGGAACTTTTTTCATCGAGTCTGCTGAACACCCTGTATTTATTATCTAATAAATTAAAAATTAATTAAGTTGTTAGCGGTGATTTTGCAGGAGATTTTTTTCTGAGTTTCTAAATGTCAATTGAAAGAACATTTTTCGGAAAATTAGTCTTACTCTTTTACCTTTATCGGTTAGTATCTTTCTTCTAGTAAGACCGGCTTTATTGTTCGATCTACGAGAGATCCGTAATCGATCCATTGTGATCGGCACGTGCCCATGCTCGTAAATGCACATCTGCGTTTCCGTGACGGAAACAGTCGGGTCTCTAGGTCTGTCGCTTCGGATTTACACCGGTTATCATCGATCCCCATTGTTCGTGAATCGAGAAAGACGGTCCGGAGCGCCTTGAAGTCTTCCCTTAGCAAGCGAGAACAATCGAGAATTGTGACACGCGAGAAATCACATCTGCCGCGAACACGTGCTTATCCTTTAGAAGCCGGGATCAAGATGTATATTCAATTTACAATTGATTAAAAAGGTCAACTATTAAATGAGTTTTTTATATATCATATTTGAAGCTTATTCAAGAATCACAAACAAAGAACTGAAATATTTTTAATATTAAATAAATTGAATATTTTTTAGAAAATTTTCACTTTCTTGAGAGCTAAAAAATCTAATGTGAAATATAAAACTAGAAATTTATTTATATAAGAAAAAGTTAATTTTGAATAAAAATTGTAAAACTGTAAAAAGTAATACTTCTGTGTGTAAAGTCAGTTAATAAAATGTAACTAAACAGATCGGACAACGTATAATAATAAGTTTCTATAGCAAATTATTATAATTACATTTTTGTAGCAATTTCAACGGACACCTAACCGCGAAATAACGTGCGAACGGATTCTACCCTCGAGAAACTCTCGCTTGCACGTGTTGTTAAATATTAGATCGACATGTGCGGCTGGTCACGGCTCGTTTAATTCACAAACTCAATGGAAGCTTAGTCAAATTGCATTTCTAATCCCCTCCGTTTCGTTTTTTGCTACACGCTTGAGGAAAGGTGCTGATACTTCCATCCGTTTCGCCCTCAAAAGAATTTTATCGATCAAACGCGATCACACATTTTATTCTTTGCATTAAATCAATAATAATTCTTCTAACGAACTAATGAAAAAATTCTAATATATAATATAAAATGTTAAAGAATTCAAAAATATTAGATTTCATTTATAATTAAAAAACGCGTTTACGATTTTATTTATTTTTAATATAATTTCATTTTAAAATGCACTGAAAAAAATTTGTTAACTTGACTAAATCTTCCAACTAAATATTATTTTGTTAATTGAGCATATAAAATATTTAAATTAAATGTAACATATTAAAACATATTCTAACAAAACGTATATTTGCCTTAAATACTAAGATATGTTCGATTAACAGAATAGTAATTTAGTTGAAAGGTTTAGTCAAGTTAATTTTTTTTTTTTTTAGTGTGGAGTTCAATTTCCAATTAAAGTAATTTTATTCGAAGATCTTTGCAGGCATAAATTCGTGAATTGAATGAAATTTGCGGCAATCTACGACCCTTGCACGAACCTTAACAGGATTACGTGTTACGTGCGCATTCGTTTCGTTGCGTAAGAGACTTGTCTCTCTTTATCGATCATTTGAGAATTACATATCACGCTTCGCGTAAACTGTGAAGAAAAATTTATGTGGGAGGAATTCTAATTTTAGTGCTCCCGTATACGGTTTTATCAACCTCAATAGGAAAGAACATATTTCTATTTTTACAAATTTATTTTCTAAACAGAAACAGTATATATGCTTTGCAAGCAAAAAACGTTCTTTCTTTATATTTTTTAATAGCTTCATATTATTTATAATTTTATAACCTGTTCTTACATAATCTGATATTATTATTAAATAATTAAGCCATGAAAAAATTGTATTTTAAAGATGATACAAATGATTAAAAAATGACTAGATATATCACTTTTTTCTTTCTTTTTCTATCTTCTATTAATTTTAAATAATACCTAATAAAAAGAGGCGATAAATTGAAAATAAAAGTTTTATTTGCATCTACCACTTGTTGAGAAAATCGACAAAGTAATTCGGATTAGACGACTCTTGATATATACAATTTTTAGTGCGATCGATAGTTACTGGTCGACGTTTTATGGCGCGCGTCAAAATATAGCACAGCGCGAGGGAGCTTTGGCTTTCCTCTTCCTTACGTCAAACGCTACCTCCAAATCCCACGGCGGGCGAATGACGCAAATGAAAATAAACATATATCTGCTTTTGCTGCGAAGCAAAGTGAACGTTTTGTTTTCGCAAAAAATTTACATGTAAAAATTTCAACATAAAACAGATCTTCGTTTTATTTGCTTTTTCTCGCAGAAAATGAGAAAGTGGACTCTCGCAGAGTTGGTTTGCGAATAACCGCGAGGAAATAATAATTACAAACATTTGAAGCATCTTCTTCTAAAGTAATTTAAAAAATAAATTATTCGATATATGCATATATACCAAACACACAAAAATTAAAATGATTTAAAGTGATGTCTAGATATTTAAACTTAAATATTTTAATAAGCATTAAATAAATATTATTTAGATAGCGCTTGAAAAAAAATATTAATATTCAAGATAGGAAGAAGAAAGCGGAGAGAGAGAGAGGAAATTGAGAGATAGATTTGTTGTATAGAGCGACAAGTCTGATTCTCGTGGTGAACGTTTTATTCAATTATAGTAATAATAATCGTCATCATCGTAGTAATAATAATCACCATAATCATCATAATGATAAGAACAATAATAATAATGGCAGCGCGCACTCGCACGTGCCATGCCGTGTCGTGAGCTACGCGCTACGCTTTCACGTGTCACAATCGCCTTCTGACACGTGGCTTTTTATGTGGTCGTGTGTGTATGTGAGGTGATTTATTTTAATTTTTCTTATTTATTTTTTTGCAACAACATTTTTCCTCGAGGCGTACAATAAAGTGACGAATTATTCATAGTTAACGCAATCCGGCGCGCTGATTTCGCTTTGATCCATGCATCTTATATATCCGCCTGTTTGTGTATGTGGGTAAGTGGATGTACCATGTACGTATGTCGGAGATGTATATAAGTTTGATTGCAAAAGAGATGATCTATGAAACGCGTATGAACGAGACCTTACGTATGTACAATAGTAAATTACGATTACAATTATACTGATTTCTTTTTACGTGTCGGTTTTAATGATGGGACGCGCTATTGCCCTGTCACGCAAACTTTTATGACTTTTATCACGTCAATTCATAGATAACAACATTAAAAAAGAAATTATTACTATTTTTCCAATTCAAAAAAATTATTTTAATTATTTAATTATTTAAATTTTCAAATTAAACATATATTAATTAATTACAGAAATATTTGCTACGCTATATATCCGTTCAATACTATAAATTATGATGTAATAAGTAAAAAAATAATTTTGTGTGACGTGATAATAGCACATTTCTTTTAGCGCTTTCTCCGCTTCTCTCTTTTCATCCCTCTTTCTTTTTTCGAAATACGATAAATAAATAAGAGCTAGGAATTACGCGAGACTTTTTAATCGTTACTATTAATTTAAGTTGGTTTTCTATCCAATTTTTAAATGATAATAGATTGGTCATTTTTATATGGAAGGATCAGCAGATTACGCATTAAAGCTATTAGGATCGAGGATTTTGCTGGAAAAACTTTAACATGTTATTTTATTAAAAGAGGAGCGCATTAATAAAATTAAATAATTTGTTATATATATATTTTGAAATATATATTATATCGCAAAAGTGGCTTTCACAATTTTAAATTTAAATATATAGCTTTAGCTCTTTAATCTTAAACGAGATTTTCGAGGAAAATTGAGGAAAATTAGACCAGCTACTTTTATGTTAGAAAACTATCGGTTAAAGAGTATTATTAGAGCTCACTCGGGATTAAATTTTGAGCATAGTTCAATTAGTGCACAAACAAAGCTGTATAATTTCGCGAATCGAAAATTTCGTGCTTGCATGCATACCAAAATAAATAAATGTTTTAGCTACTTAGAAATTCGCTAATTAATTAATACTCTGTTTAATATTAGCGTCTTGCGCAATTTAACCTTTCTCTCTTTACATCGTTGTTTTAATTATCTCTCGTTATCTATTTTTTGAATCTTCCTTTAACTTTGTAGTTAAAGAAGGTTTTTAAAAGAGACTTGAAAAAGTTTTGAAAAAGAAGAGATAGATTTTTTAAAACAAGTATTCTCACATTGCATTATTATATATGTATATAATAATTTTGGGACACTACCGAGTGTCTCGCGATTTGTTTCTCTCGGAAGGCGGGAAATGGATTAGGATCGTGTATATCAAATGTGTCTCACAATTCCGGTTCTTTGTCTTTTCTCGCATAGCGCGTTCCCCAATAGTTCTCGATTTTTAAAAGCGATAAGGCATTATCGGATATGTCAGCTGAGATCTTCGAAACGTTTTTCTGGGATTGCGGTACATCGAAAGCTTTACAAAAATATCTCATCTTATTTGATCTGTCAAGTCCCCTCGTATAGTGCTTTCTTCCCCGTCGCTTTCCGAAATTCCACCCCTCGTTCTTTCTCGTCTTTCGAGTCGGGCACTTCGATTCTTTCGATAAGTCACGTCTTAATCTAACGAGACAAATTTTATCATTCCTTTTCTCTCGTCCGAAGGGAAATGAGAGGCGCAAAACTCGGCTTTCTCGTTCTTCTCATATCTGCGACATAGTGATTAAAGCGACTCATTATGCTCCCGTGTGCGTGCTACAAAAGAATAGCCAAGAAAAGATTTATGCTCCGGGAAATCCTTCTCTTGTTGTTGCCTTTCTTCTTCTTTTCCGACGTGACGATACCAGCTGAAATCGCCATTATCGTTGATCGGTGTAATTAAGCGCAAACTTTTTGGCACATTTGCTGAAATCTTTGGCTATTAATCTCTTACGATATGTATGTGATTAGTTTCCCGATTAAATCGGAAATCATTTTTTTCTTAGTAATGAAAGGAAAAATTTATTACGGCGTAAGAACGAACCAAAATTTTTGTGCAATTAAATTCAATCGAGTATAATGAAAATTTTCCTTCAAATATTTTATTTCAAATTTAATTTAAATGTTTAATTTACTATATATTTAATAAAGATAATGAAAACTTTATATGCAAATCTATTGCATCTTTATATGTTAATATATTGTAAAAATATATATATATATAGAATTGATATATATGTATATACACATAATTTTTTCATGTATTATACCATGTGGCAAGAGATTAATTGCCTAGATACTGTAGTTAAGTATTTCCCTTTGCTCGTTTGTGGCTCGATTTGGCATTCATACAACAGCACAATTGCTCGCACGCGTATATTCTATAGTTTTAACTTTGTATTTTTGTTTTAATCGGAGAAATCGCGAACGATCGAATTATTTTCTGAGCAATTATCGTATTAAAATACATGATTCATTATTATTCATTCTCTCTGTTCTCTTTATCATTTACCTATATGAACAGTAGTTTTTGTATCTTCGAAATTCAGTCGTTCGAATTATTTCGTGATTTACATCTATTCGTCAGAATAATACACATTCGCAAAAATGGATATACATTTATAGTATTTTGTTGTTTATTGTTAGATAAATTTTTCTGATTCGAGGGAACAAAACAAGCTTTGATTTTTTGTTTTATAACTGTTAGTAATTCATTAGTAGCAAAAGAAAAAAAGAAATAAAATGGATTCTTTTTTTAATAATTTTGTCTCTTGCGCTTCTCTCAACTACAAATAAGATAAATATTTGCGCAAAAATCTATAATAATATAGAAAATATTTAAAATATTATACTTAATTTTAAATATAAAAACAAAAGACGAAAGCTATATTTTTTATTTTATTTGTGTGAATGCACATTTTTTCCTAAGATGATAAATTTGATATCTAGGAACCTTTTCCTCGTTTCTCAGGATCGTCCGCGATTTCTCTTCGCTTAAACTCGAACTCGATCAGGCCCTTACTATGTTGCATGCACCTCTAATTTTTTATAGTTTCTCTTTGAAAATACCGCGCGTGTACGCTTTTTTATTATTTTTAAATTTTATTTTTATTTTTAAATTATTTTCCTTTCGGCGCGAGACGCTTGAGACGCCTAGTAGATAGGTACGATTTGCAATTCCACTACGGTAATTTTTCATACCATAATACTTATATGTACATGTATATATAAATATGTGTGTACATAGTGTGTACGTGAGTAATATACTTCTTTTAAGCCTTAACAACGTCCGCAATGTAACAATCATTTCGATCTCGATCAAGATCGTCGTTAATTCCGTTTCGATGACGATCATCGACGTATTTCGGCTATACTCGACAGTCAAAAAAATATTATTATTAATCCCTTCTCGGATCGCGAGATATATCTGTCACGCATACAAGATCTATAAAAATTACTCATCTTTTCCATTTTTATTTTTATTGAATATCAATTTTTATTTTTGTTAGCAATGCAATTTTGTGGCCATAAATATTCAAACTAGGGAAATGACAATTTAGAAATGTAGATTTTTCAATAAGAAAATTAATCAGTGTTGACAAATTAATCTCAGCAAATAGAGATAGATATAACAGAATGTATCTTATTGTTCATTTAATTTCAAGAAATTTTAATTTGATAAATTACGCCAAATTAGATTAAATTGTATGCGTTTATTCACAAATATATCGCGTGCCCGAGAGAGGAAAAATTGTCTAACACACAACTGACAACGCAATAAACGAACAACGCGTAACGTCCTAACGACGAATCAACGTCTATCAACTATATCAACTTTAATCTATACAGTAACATTTAACAGACTACTAAGCGTTATTAGGCGCAATTTCGAGAACCAGCCGAATGACACCTAATCATTCGAATTAACGAGAATCTTGATCTACTTAATCGTATCCAGGAAGCAGAAAGAAGCAAGTCCAAAATTATCAGAAATAAATTATTAAAGTTAAAAACTGCTAAAATTTGATATATTATCTATTTGTTCGAAAAACAAAAAAATCTTAAATCGAGAACGCAAATTTTGTATCTATTTCATTTTTGGTATTTGATTTAATGTAATTCAATTTTTCTTGACTTAATTTCCGAACTTTCCAAACTTTCCAAACTTCTCTTGAAGTAGGACTTCCAGACTTGCACCCTTCTACCTTTTGGATACAAATGTCTGCCATAACTCTCATAATTATATATATAATCAACGTCGCGAGATTATTAATCTCGACTCGAATCGACACGAATTTCCGCCATCGAAACTCGGATTTCGCGCAATTATAATATTCGTGTTAAACGTTAGTGTTGTGTATGTGTGTATGTTTGTCTATGAGTGTATCTGTGAGGTAATCATTCACGCAGCTACACTATGAGCATGTAGGTCCGCACTCTCTCTCGTTGCATTTTCTTGCACATTTTGCCAATCGCGCGTGACATATCACATCACGCGTTTCTTCCAAAGTTTTTCTCCTTCTCCCTCTCCTTTTTCTCTCCAAATCAATCTCTTATCGATTATAGCTTTATTAGTATATACGGCTCGTGTTAATTAGTTTGGCACATTGCACGATCCTTCGCTTCTTTTTTTAATCCTCGACGATGAAAAATAAAATATATGTGATATTTCTTCCTTCCTTTATCTCTTCGAGGTCTTGCGAAAAAATTACCAATGCACTCGCGTTTCGCTTTACCGAGCTGCATCGCGACGATGATCGCGCAATTGATTTGGTGAACAGTTCCGATTCGAGATCGGGACCGGCGTTGCCGGGAATCCTCGGATTTCACCAGTTTCCCTCGTGATACATATGACTATTTGCTTCTTCTATCGAACTGTCTGTTGTAAGAATATGTACAATAGCGGTATGTATGTATATATACACAATAAGGTAACTCTTCTTCGCGCGGTTAGTTTTATGCCGATTTCGCGCGCGATCTTCAGTCAATCGCGAGGGCAGAAAAAGTCCGAGCGAGTACACGACTTGCCAGGAACATTTCCAGGATTTCTTGTCTCGTTTAGCACAGATTCCGGGTTTTCAAAGCGGCCTATCAAAGAAAGTCGAAATATCGGTATATCTGCGGCAACGCCAGTTCAGACCTCCTTTGCGACTTCTTCTTCTTCTTCTTCTTCTTCTTCTTCGCTCTTCTCGCCTCGCGACATTTTTTGCTTCGTGAAGTAAAGTAGAATTCCCACCACCAGGGCCAGATTAATCAGTTAGCAGCTGATCGACAAGCTCGGCAATCCGAATGGAGAAGAGAGACTCTCCTCGAGATTCTTTTGATTAGTCTTTCGGTTCAAGCCTCGATCGGATTCAACGACGATCGAGCTGATTCGCCGCTGGCCGAGCTTTCGTCAGACTGAGCTAGGGTGGTTCCGGCTCGGAGGTGGGAGATTCTTGCTACGCTTCCAGGAATATAAGCGCCGTCGGCTTCGGCTCCAAGTTGCTCTTCTTCGCCTCGACCACCAGAAACTCGATCTCATTGCGATCGCGACGTGCGAACGATTCGGCGATCAATCGCGCGACCTCTTGATGATGAAGTCCTGCAAGTAATGCACAATTAATGTCATTGTCCATAGAATTCAATTTAGACATTTTTCAATTCTATAGAATTCATTGTTTAATTATTTGTTGAGAAGAAATTAATTTATATCATTTTGAAAATTCTTTTGGGATCAAGTTTGAATTGGAATTTTATTACTACTGCTATTCAAAGAAATTTAAATTTTAGAATATTCAGGATCTTAGACTTATGATAAAAAATAATTAGCATTCTGTAAAAATGTCTTTTTAAAAAAATGAATTTATATTATTTTGAAAATTCTTTTGTGATCAAATTTGAATTGGAATTTGATCACTATTACTGCTCAAAAAAAATTTTTATTAAAAGTTTACAATATTTAGGATCCTAGACTTATGATAAAAAAATAATTAGCATACTGTAAAAATGTCTTGCTAACATTACCTTCAACTTTCTGACCATCGACTTCAAGGATGAGCTGGCCGACTTCGAGGCCACCAGCCTCGTAAGCTGCTCCATTGTCCTGCAACGAATTACCACACATGCGTTAGTCATATTTATGGCATAATATTGTTTATGCCGTCGTAAATGGTGCCGGCGATAAATTCGCTCGACGCAGATTATTAATTGTGCGTTTCGGTGGAGCAGAACTTCATTTAAATCGAGTGTACCTTGTTTAATGAACGTAATATATGAGATAATTTTTGCCGTAATGGATTTTGTTAAAAAGATTCGAGAAATATTAATTAGTATCATTAACGTACTACGCATAATTATTTATATAGAATACTTTATAAGGCTTGCGTTCATTTAATCTCAAGAATGTATACAAAATCTTCTGCCATTTCTAAATTTCCCCTCTTAAATAATTAAGTACTGAATTTATTAACTCAAAGATATAAAAACATATTTATTTATGCATTATTCATTTACATACAAACAAAAACAGAGATCATTATATCCAGTACATTTATTAGCCTTATACATATATCTCTTGTTTTAATTTACTCCTATTAACATCATTTTTCAATTGTACATAAACTTTCTTCAAGATCTCATTTTAATTATCCTCTAAACCGATATCTGGCCTCACTCGAATCTTTCTTCGTGTTTCAATATTTTTTCCAATTTTTCTAATTTTATATTCAGAGTGTCTAGCGGTCAGGGAATTTTACAAACCTGGAATTGTCAGGGAAAAGTCAGGAAATTTTATTATTTATCTGCATTTTTCCACATTATTCTACATTTGTCTCAATAATTGAATTTTTGAACTCACGTGTATATTTGGAAAAAATCATACTAAAAAGTCAGAGAAAAAATTAATTTCTGGTCTTGGAAAATCTGAGAAAGTCGGGGAATTTTTTTCATTGAGTCTGCTGGACACCCTGATATTCTTTCAATCGATGATTAATTAAAAACAAACTCACGTGTATATTTGCAAAAATAATACTAAAAAATCAGGGAAAAAATGAATTTCTGGTCTTGGAAAATCAGAAGAAATCAGGAAATTTTTTTCATTGAGTCTGCTGGACACCCTGATATTCTTTCAATCGATGATCAATTAAAAACAAACACGTGTATATTTGCAAAAATAATACTAAAAAGTCAGGGAAAAAATTAATTTCTTGGAAAATCAGAAGAAGTCAGGAAATTTTTTTCATTGAGTTTGCTAGACACCCTGATATTCTTTCAATCGATGATTAATTAAAAACAAACTCACGTGTATGTTGATGATCCGGGGCAGTGGATGCTTGGTGTTAGCGCCGCCTTCAATGGCGATGCCTAGAATCGATTTGGTCTTTTTCACGGTGATGCGCAGGTTGCCCTGATGATCGGGCACCACCAGGGCGCCGTCCTCCTCCCGTCGCTCTGACATTTCGCTGCGGGTCAGCCGCTGCACACTGTGATGCCGCCGTGGCGGGCCCCCTGCGGTTCCACTTCCGGCGGGCCCGCCGCCGGAACCACCCTCCTCTAGCAGCTGCGCCTCCTGCATGTCAAAGCTCCGCGAGAGCTTGTGCGCGAGCTCCTGGAACGGATATCATTTGTATTCAAACGATAGCCACCGGATCTCTCCGCCCTAACGTCGGATTCGCGTCAGCAACCGGAAATTCAACGATTACGCACTTGTACCTTGTCAAATTTATATCAAAATATACGAATGATCTTTCGATAAATTTTATTCGATTTTTGAATTTTCTATCAAACTATACACAAGTCCGATTCTTCTTGAATTTAAAAATTCTAAAGCTATTAATATTTTGAGGTTTACGTTTAAATACAATAAATTTAATAAGCAACTATTATAAGATTAAATTTAAAAATTATGTTTATCTATATTTTTAAAATTTTATAATTATTTAAGAGATACAATAATAAGTTTATTTAAAGAGAGTGAGCGTTTTATATGTGATCATTCAAAATAAATCGCACACGGCTGCTGCAGCGTATCCGAAAAGTTATCTCGATGCATACATACACACGCACACATACACACGCGCACGATGATAGCACACAAGAGCTAAAAAGGCTTCTGCTAGCGTATTCGCGTGCACGCTGCAGTGGAAGAGCGTTCTGGTGATCTTCACGCAGCTTCCGGTATACGAAATAGAAATATGGGTGCGTTGAGAACGCCATAATTCTCGAACTTTCGCAGTTTTTCAAGCACATTCCTCCGCGAAATGTTAATTCCGACGTAAAATACGAAAGTGCTGATCGGAAGCTGATAGAGAGAAGTGTATTTGAAACGGATGCATATATTTTATGGTGCATTCCAATTCTATCCTCTCGATACTTTTATTTTTTTTTTTTTCATCTCGCATGCCTTATCTAGCGTGCTGTGGACATTAAATAGAAATAGTAGTGAAGAAATGGAAAAGGATATCTTATAGTAGTGAAAAAGTCTATTTTCATTCTATTATTCTAATGATAGTAAACTTTAATAACAAAGAAGATATTTTAAGAATAATAGTGCAAGTTTTCTCGCATTTTCAATTCAATTGAAAGAGATTTAATAATCGAGAGAAATGAGAAAATATAGTTAGATAATAAAAAAGAGCAAAAATTCTTTCTCAACAGTTCTACCCGGGTTTTTTTTTTTGCATTCGATTCGACTCCATTGTTCCGTTCCGCTTTTCCTTGCGTGCAATATTACATCATCTATGTGCATGTATGTGGAATTATGTGCCGATGCGCAAACATATAATCAGTGTTGGGTAGTATCTAGATACATGTATCTAGATACATTTTGTGTATCTGAATCTGTATCTTAGGTATATTCGATTTGAAGTATCTAGATACAAAACATGGTATCTGAATTGCTTTTTCAGATATATTTGCAGATACATTTTCACATTTTTTTTTTTTGAATAGCCCAATTCTTTAAATTTTGTATCTAGATACATTTCGTGTATCTGAATCTGTATCTGAAATATATTTGAATTGAAGTATCTATATCTGTATCTAGATACAAAACATGGTATCTGAATTGCTTTTTTCAGATACATTTGCAGATACATTTTCACATATTTTTTTGACTAGCCCAATTCTTTAAATTTTGAAAAGATCAAGACTGCAAGTTATCAACATATCGTCATCAATACCGATTAAGCGATTATTAAGCATTGGTCAAATTTTAGTACCATGGCGAAATAGTTTGAGTGACGATATCTTTGAGGCATTTTTCACGTGTCAAGACTAACAAATAAAGTCGTAATATAAACAATAAAAATATTAATAAAGATAAAACAATTATTCCGAACATTTTGTGCATATTACCATTATTATGATAAAATATAATTTAAAAGTATCTGAGTATCTGTATCTGTATCTAGATATATTTTTGACACGTATCTGTATCGAGATACATTTTAAATGTATCTTACCCATCACTGCATATAATGTACACATACGCGAGTGTACGGCTATACATATCAATATGTTCATTTAATATATGTACGTATATATGGACCACACAAGAATATATACATATATGCATATATATATATGTATATATTATATATCAAAAAATTGAGTCATGCTTGCTGATGGCAGGCTGGTAGCAGTTGGGTGTTGGTGGTGCTCGGAGAGATAGAGATAGAGAGAGAGAGTGGTGGTTGTGGTGTGGTGGCGGTGGTGTTGTCGTTATCACACAACTAATTGTCGCTCTATATATATATATATATTTGTCGCCACCCATCGGCACCGATTCCGTATGCGATATCGGCTTACCGTCGCTCGAGTGCGCAGCAGAAACGACACATCGATAGCAGAGATATATTTCCAGTCGCGACACTTGTCATCAACGTTACTAATAATCCGACTAACTAATCAACTGGCCTCAGTGTACGGCTAATTCTGCGATACTAATCTCTCACTGCGCTAACAACAATTATATCGGCTCTTTTCTATCTCATCGGGTACAGCAAAGAAAAATTCATGTGATAATATATATTGTAGAAAACATATAAAATTAGTTGTATTATTATGTTGATATAAAAAATTATATTAGAAGATGTAATAGAAAAGATCCCGATCATTTCTCTTGAGCTATTTTTTTCAAACTTTTTTAGCTATCACTCGAAACTCATGCAATTGGAACGATAATGCTTGATAAGAAATTATCATACTATATATAAATAAAATTGCTATTTAAATCCAATTCCTTACTTTTCGACACTAATCTTTAAATAAGTTACGCTATTGGACTAAAAAAACTTCAATTAACACGTGTGTTCTAAGAAAAGAATTTGATAAAAAATTTTAATTACTCTAATATCAAATTTCGATTATGCTAAAATTGTACAGAGTATATGACATTCTTGCTGAATCTCAAATAGAGTGTATGTACATAGATTATAATATTTTAATTAATTAACAAATAACACTACGAAAAAGTAATTAATTTTTCGCGTCTCATATCTAATTTTGTCGAGTTCACGGCCGAAAGGCGTAAAGATCGAGTTAATTAGATCATCTTGTTTCCTCGAGAGAAACGTGAAGCGAGAACGGTGAAAGTATGCTCAAAGCGGCAATGCGAATACGCACGCGTGTACTCACGCGTGCACAAACATCGGGACAATGAGTCCTGTTCTTGCCACATTGATGCTTCGCACGATTTTTTTTTCGTCCGACCGAAAGTTTCTCTTTCTGCTTGACGCGTCCACCCTTGACTCTCGAATTTGCACAAGAAAAAACTTATATTGCGAAAGTTTTTTTTTTTATCTCGTTACATTACGTATTAACCGAGAAAAGTTTCCGCGAAGCTAGATTAATCCCGAGTGAAACAGAATTTCTCTCACCGGATGAATCCTGATGTAATTGACTTTGTTTTAGTACGTTTTCTTTTTATTTCGGATCAAGTTCTTTCGCTTTGACGGAATTATTTATTTGTTTACACAGGTCGCTAAGAAATTATTTTTCAGCAATTCATTACCATTGAATACGACAACTATTTTACAGGATTTCTATTTAGCTAAATCGCGAAATTTCTTTTCTGTTTTTTTTTTTTTTTAATGAGTAAAGTGATCGTGCATGCCAAGACATCTATGTGAATATATAGCGCATGTACATCCCCGTGCCCGTATATATAATATATGTGTATATATAGAAAGTCTCATCCAATCAAATTTCCACGATGGACTTGGTATGACGAAGTTGAAGACAACTATTTACTTAGCAAAGATTTCGTGATAAGAAGGATTATGCCGCATTGCAATTTTCTCTTCTCACCGTTTACAGCAATTAAACACTTAACTGAAATTGTTGCTATAAAGAAATAGAAATTATGAGGAGAAACAAGGCGTAAAATATTTATATAAATGAAAAGACAGGATTATATATATATATTACTTATTATATGGAGATCATTTCTGTCATTTAATTTCTAAATTTGTTGTGTCTTAATTGGAGTTTTCTTGAAAGTTCTCGCTAACGAGAGGAAAATTTGCTTCAAGTTCATCTGAATCTGTGGTCGAAATTCGACATGAGGCAGATGAGACGCTCTGTATATATGTATAATTATAAAATAGTGATCGTGCTTAAGGACAAATCGTAAAAAGTAGCATGTGCAAGACATCTAAGATAAAAAACACGTACAACACCTAACGCTATGTCGACTAATCTCGCTAGCTCTAGGAGCACAAGGACACTTGATCGTATGACGTGTGTGTGTGTGTGTGTGTTTGTGTGTTTATGTGTGTGTATGAGAGATAGAGAGAGAGAGAGAGAGAGAGAGAGAGAAGAAGAGAAAAAGAGAAATTTAATTAGGAAAAAGAATTCATGCCTAAGTGAGAAAATGTTTCCAATAGTTCGAATCGAACAATAATTTTCGCGCCGCGTTGCGTTTATCTGTGTTATTTACCCTTTCTCATATTATGAGATCCCGTGAAAAAAAATGGAATATATCTTTTCGGAAAATATGATTTTTTCTATAACCACTTTTTAGTTATCGTGTAATTGAAATAATTCAATTATCAGTACAATTGTGTTTTGAAAATCTGTTTATACGTTTTTGCATCACTCGCAAATTATTATTTTTTTTTTTTTTTTCTATATTATTTTGCGACCCGGATATTTCAAATGCGACAGATGCAACTGCGACCTCATCGAAGGTTTACGATTTCTCGTTGTTCCAGTATAATGCGATTTTTATTGCGAGACTTTATTACTGTATGTTGCAGTCCTATTTCACCTTGTCTCGATTATATTTCGTTATAATTCAGAATTTAAATGTGTATAGCGCGATCGTTTATTTAAATGAAAAAATGAAAATTTATTATGAATCGTAGCTAATAATTTTTAATAATTTTTAATAATTTTTTAAAAATAACAATTTTATTTGAAATAAATAAATAGCAATACAAATAAAATTTTAGAGACCGTAAATGATAAAAATAACAGAGAGAATATATATCTTATATAAATAATGAAATATAGTTAGAAAAATAAAATATACGGAAACAATTTGCAATAATATAATAATTTCTCTATGCATTATGATGTCATATCGAATATATTAAGCAATTGTGCGATGGACTCGATTACGATTTCGCTTCGCATTGTAATTTTTCGCCGAGATGTTATCGACACTTCCGGCGAGATCCGGATGGAACGAGTTCTCTACGTTTCCTCCGATATGAAAATCGCTACGTTGCACTGATTATACCCTCTTCTATTTGATGGAGGTATATTCGATTATTAAATCGATACCATATGCATTTACTCTTCCAAAAGTGTTCACAAAAAATAAATGGCATTTTTTAAAAAATAAAATCTTAAAGTAAAATTATAATCAATAAATTAAAACTAAAATCGGGAATTCAAATCTAATTTAATTCCTGATTTTAATTTTAATTTTTAATATTGATTATAATTTAAATCGATAATAAAATAAAAATTTAGATTAAAAAGATTAAAATAGAATTTTTTAATAATTCAGAATAACAGAATGATTATAATAACGATTACAAAATATCAAATGAAAATTCATATGCAAAAGATTAATACAAAATTTCAATTATTCTGTTGAATATTAAATAAGATTTAAAAATAAATAGGATCGAAAAATAAAAAATTAAATAAGATTAGAAAAGAACATAAAATATATCGAACAAAAAGAAATAAAAAAGACCTTCCCCAAACTTTAATTTTTAATCGAAATGTTGGGATTTCCCTTTTTTTCCCCCTAATGCCCTTGTCCTCTGATTTTTCCACGAGACGGTGCAAAATGTCAAACGGCGGCAGATAGCGTGAGACAAAAGAAACGACAAGAAGAAGACAAAAAGAAACGAGAGATAAAATCGTGCGTGATTAAAAGAAAAAGAAAAGAAAAAGAGAGAGAAAGAGAAAGAGAGAGAAAAAGATTGTGTTCTCTGGATAGGAAAACTTACGAGGGGCCTGGCGCCCCAGTACCAGGATTTGACGCGTTGCGTTAGCCCACCAAGCAAGTGGGATCTCCAACCACCGAAACCCCCACCACCTCCACTCTCCGAGCTCCTTTCCTCCCTGCTCTCGAGCTCGTCATCTTCCTCCAAATCGCGATCCCGATCGCCAGCGCCGCGTCTCCCGTTACCGATCATCTCGGCGTCGCTACCCTCGCAACACCCGTCGCTTTCCTAAGCCGCACGTTCGCGCGTAACACAACCGGAAATGCCTCATGTTAGCACCCACGTCCACCCCTTATGCTAATTTACATGTGCACGCGAACGATGCGGGCGCGAACGTCGAATCGAGATGAATGAGGGTGAATGTTTGAAGAAGGCTTTCGTGTTTTGTGTCAAAGGATTTATTTACATACAGTAGACTAATTTCTGGTTTCTTGTTAAAAACGGTCAAATTTTTGTGTTAAATATTTAACACATTACTGTTCTGTTAATTGAACTTAAATGTTGAATTGTTAAAAGAACTGAAAGAGAATGTAGAAATAATACAATGCAAGTATGTTCTGCTTTATTAGTGACAAGATTTTTTTGTTAAAATTTACAGGAAAAATGTGGATTTTCTATTTTATAATATAAGTGGGGATGATAAAATCTAAAATTAACATATTTGTTTAAAAATATGTTAATTTTACACAAAATTTATTACATAATATTTGTGTCTCTATTTAACATATCCATATTATGTTAAATTAACACAAAAATTTTTCAACTGTGTAGATCAGACGTATCAACTCTTTATACATGAAATCAAATTTTGGGATTGTCATTAAAATTCATTAATTGAGTCTGCGTGATAAAATTATATTTTGTCTTCCTTTTATTTTTCAATAAAATTTTGAATTTATATTTTCTAATTGAAATGTATGCGAGGTTGATACGTTCTTTTTTTCACACCCCCATATTGTATTTTTAATTTCTAAATAAGCTTGATTGTGTTTATATATTCTTGCTCTTCGAAAGTACAAGTAATAAACACAATTAAACTTATTAAGAAACTATATAAAGGAATTGTATAGTCTTGTCTCCACTTTAATCTCTCTTATTTGCTTTATCTTTAATTTTAACTAACTATTGAATTAATTTCTTATCCTAAAGTCAATCTTTCCGCAAGATTCCTGTCTTTATCGGGCAGCCACAGTAATTACTTACATAATAAAGTTATATTTTTAAGTTATGCTACACTTTTATTCTCTTGCTATTTTTTATACAAGATAGTTGGAGCAGCATCGAGATGAATGAGAGTGAATATTCGAAGAAGGAATGTATTTGTGTAAAAGGATTTATAGATCAGACGTATCAACCCCTTATACACGAAATCAAATTTCGGAATTGTCATTTAAATTATTTATTTTTCTTTTATTTTTTAACAACATTTAGAAATTATAATTTCTAATTGAAATAAATGTGAGGTTGATACGTTTTTTTTTTTCGACACCCCCGTATTGTATTTTTAATCTCTTGAATAAGCTTGATTGTGTTATATATTCTTGCTCTCCGAAATTACAAGCAATAAACACAATTAAACTTGTTAAGAAACTATATAGTCTTGCCTCCACTTTAATCTCTCTTATTTGCTTTATTTTTAAAATTTTACCTAAGTGTTTAATTAATTTCTTATTCTAAAATCAATATTTCCGCAAGATTTCTGTCTTCATCGGCCAGCCACAGTAATTACCTACATAATAAAGTAATTATTTTCTCAAGTTACGTTACACTTGTATATTTTCTTCTCTTGCAATTTTTTCCACAAGATATTTGGAGCAGCGTAGCTGCTTTTAGTCGCTCGTAAATGTTTCTTCAAGATTTATTTCGTCGCGCATTACGGTAAAACAAGCTTGTAGCACTCGGTTTACCGGTCTCTCTCGAGAGAATTATGATCGTGCGGGAAAAACGATACTTAGAAAGCGCTATACCGGACGGTCTCTTTCTTTCGGTCTCGCTCCTGGGAGTGATTATGGGACTTACATGATCGACACACGCGCGCGTTTATGATCGTTTTGCGCTGGGACGCGTAACGGCGTGGTGGGTCCGATTGTTGCCATCTTAACTGGAGCACGTCTCCCTAACTACCCAAGATCGTACGAAACCAGTTATATGATACCAACAAACTTCGTTTCATAGTGTCTTAATATTAGTTACACCAGACTGTAATTTCCGCAAGCATTAAGCATTACTACATCTGACGATCATTACGAAGAGATCGAGGCAAGAAAGACGAGAAACTTTTTATGTCATTATTAACTCCTGACGATCTCTAAAAAGATTAAGATATATATTTTTGTATGCTCAAAAAATCGAGTATTGTAATTTTCTGTCATGAAAACAGATCTTGTCTTTTTTAGGAATGTGCAATTGTTAGGGAATTTTATAAATTTGGAATTGTCAGGAAATTTTACTATTTATCTGCATTTTTTTACATTATTCTACATTTTTCTCAATTTGAAATTTTTCATTAAATAAATATAAACTTTTCCTTGACTTCCAGCACGTTAATTTTCTGTGTTGTTAAAAATCGATTCATCTGCAGCGTATTCGTTAATTTATATTTTCATCGTCGTGTTATTTTATTTTAATGTTTAATAGAGATAAAACTAAAAAATAAAAAGGTGATTATTTTCGATTATCGTACATAATGCAGATTGTATAATTGATTTAAATTTCTGTTATTTCAACTTCCGAAACTTTTCATTGTTGGCAAAAATATCTCAAGGATTTCATAATTTAACATTTAATTGATTTATCATACAGATATATAGAAATTATATATTTGGAAAAAATAATACTAAAATGTCAAGGGAAAAATGAATTTCTGGTCTTGGAAAATCTGAAAAGGTCAAGGAATTTTTTTCATTGAGTTTGTTGGACACCTTGATATTCTTTCAATCGATGATTAATTAAAAATGAAATTTTTAAAATCTGAAAAAGGAAGGAATTTTTTAATCGAGTTTGCTGGACACCCTGAATTGTGAAAGGAAAAATTGTTAGCTACTCGGTTGATTTATGTCAAGATCAAAATCCTGAATTTTAAATATCCGGAAGAGCAGCGGGAAACACAAATATACAGGGTGTCCGGTAACTAACGGACCAATGATTAAGGGCGGATTCTCTGGCCAATTTGGAGACGATTTTTCCTTAGCAAAAATGTTAAGAAGTCAATAATTTTCGAGTTATAAGCAATTGAAAAAAATGGGTTTTTTAAAAACTAAACGTTTTAGAGTTAAAAGTCTAACATAATTACATTCTTTAGTTAATTTCAGGTAGAGTTTATTATAATAAAATTTTAATTTGAGGCTTTAGTTATAAAGATACATAATGACAAATATTGGAAAGTTGTAAAAAATGATGACCTTTTTCGACATTTTCGCTGAGGAAAAATCGTTCCCAAATTGACCAAAGAATCCATTTGTAATCGTTGGTCCATTAGTTACCGGACACTCTGTATATATATTATTTGAAGAATTAATACCGTAATCATAAAAGTTGAGTGGTCTCGACCTCGGGCGACTCTGTTCTAAATTCAAATCGCGTATTCGTGGTCACCTAGTAACCTCGGTTCGCGACGGCAACAGCAGGAAATAATAATCATTGTCGGTTATTAATGGGTCCGTCGCCGTCGTCGGAGAAAGTTTCGGGACGACGTTCCGTTATGTGCGTGGATCACGTAGAATAAAACACGGGGTATCGGGTGGGCCCCGAAGTGGAACCCGAGAAGGAAGACCCGATATTTTATGATATCTCACGAATGTAGGTCAATTGTCGCGTTTAAAGAGATTCTGCGGTTAAACAGTCGGTGAAGAAGTTTCGTTTCTGCAAAAATTGGAGTAGTCGAACAACCGGTCGTATATATTCGCGGAAACCATAGTAAATAATGTTCCTTTTGTTATGACATGATGATATCTATCGAAAACATTTATTTAAAATTCAACTCTTACAAAAAATTTTAATTAACATACTAGTTAATTATTAAAGAAAACATAATTTAAGATATTAATAAACTAGCATGCTAATGGATTGAGACGTAATAAATGATTTCTATTATTAGAAAATCCATCTATGATAATGATAAAAGAATCGCGCAAAAGCTGTGGAATTTGTTAAAATAATATTTGTTATTTTCAATGCATTATCTTGAAAGCGAAAAATTTTTGCAAAGGCAGCGCTAAAAAAAAGAGGTGTAGCCGATAAGCAAGCGGTAATTCAATTTGAACAGAGATAAGAATTTTTTATTAGTCGTGCATCGGCCACACCTAACTCGTCGATCTGTAGATTGTTGACTGTAGCGAACGAATATGGATCATGTCGATCTACAGAATGCGTAGGTGTCACTCACGAACTGGTTTGAAGACTGACGCAATGCGTGAAAGTTCGACGAACTTCTAGCGCATTCGTATACATTATAATTTCCACATTAAAACTGCATTAAATCCTATTCTCGTAGAAACTCAAGTACGAAAGGTACATAGAAAATACAACTAAAACATTATATAGATATATAATTCCTATATTATTCCAAGCTAATAATACTTCAAAAAATGCATGCTAAAATTCCTGTCAAATTGAAGCTTATTGAAGAACAAAGAAAAGAGAAAGAGAGAGGAAATGTTTCCGATTATTTATAATTACCACTGATTATCTCGGTACATCCGGTAAAAGGGTTAAAAAACACTGTGTCACGCGATCCACTTTGTTATATCATCAACTACGTACATGTGAAATATGCATTTCTTTTCTTCTTTTCGCGCAAATGCGATTGAATATTAGTGAAATAATCGCTGAAACCACCAGGTCACTCCAATACGCCCCTGTTATCAGACGCAGCCCTGAAGAGAGGATACCATCTTTCAAGAGAACTGTAACCTGTATTCGCGATGCGGTCCGCCAATCTGGCAACGTTGTGTCGAAGCCGGTCTTAGGGATGTAATCGCGATTTTTGGGCCCGAAAGCAACCTTTGCGCGTCCCTTAAGATCCTTTTCAAAATCCTGAATTGTTTTTTCTTCCTTTTGCTCACGTAGAAAAAATAATAGCGTGACGCATGAAATAAAAGTTTCCCTCGGGGCCTTCTTCTATTTCTGGGCCCGGAAGCTCTACCTTCTGCTGCCGCCTACGTTCCTGACCTTCTCTCACCTGTTTGTTACCTGTCCTCCCTCTTTTCTGACATCTTCGATTCGATCCT